TGTTCATCCTGGAAGCCCTAGGGGAGAATCCACTTCTCTCCTTGCCTTTTCCAGCTTCTAGAGGTACCTGCATTCCGTTGCTGGTGGCCCCTTCCTCCATCTTTAAAGCCAGCAGCATAGCATCTTCTCGTTCCCTCTGATGTCTGTTTCTGTCCTACATCATCATCTTTCTCTGACTCTCAACACCCCCGCCTCCCTCTTATATGGTCCCTTGTGACTGTGATACATTGGGCCCATCCTGACAACCCTGGGTAACCTCCCTGCTATGGCTTGAATGTGTCCCCGTCAAAATTCAGGTGTTGCCAATGTGATAGTATTAAGAGGACTTTAAGAGGTGATAAGGCCATGAAGGCTTCTCCCTCATCAATGGGATTAAGTGCCCTTATAAAGGGTGCTTGACAGAGGGAGTTGGTCCTTTTTTAGCCCTTCTGCCATGCAAGGACACAGCATTCCCCCTCTCTGGAGGATGCAGTGTTCAAAGCACCATTCAGCCTATCACAGCTAGCATGCATTTTCTCTTTAAATTCTTAATTCTTTGCGTTTGGTTTTAGATAGTGCTTGACTCAAAGGCCAGATGAGCCTCAGTGTCACTTTAGACCTAAGAATCTCATTGTCAATCCAAACATACTTAGTCGTCATAGAAAACAGAATTAATCCAAATCCCAACCCTTCACATATTTCAAATGGGTTGATTTGTGCTTATATTACACATTAATACAGTTTGAATCACTCAGAACATAATGCTTTTAAGGAAAAGATATAAAAGATCTCCTCAAGGCTTTTCTTTCAATTCCTGACCTTTACTTACAATAAGAGGTGGAGGCTATTAATGCGGGTGATTGTGGGGATAGGGAGGATCATTTTCTTTCTCCTTTTACCTCATATTATTACTATAATAAACGTTCCAAAACATTTCTTTCAAACATGACTCGGACTGTAGCATATTGCCAGCGATTATTCATATACGTTATACCTGTCAATAGCTGACTTGGAATTCTTATGTAGGTGGCCTTCACTCTTTCAAAAAGCAAATGATGCCATCATTACTCTCTTAAAAGAGAAGCATTTAAGTTAGTGACAGCCATAAAATGTTTAAGAAACTATTGCAGAATGTCAGGTAGTCAAGACTGTCTCATAAAGGCAAACCAGGCCGAGACCATCTTTCTTTGAGCAGGGATTTGTGCTTTGGAAAGAGTACTCCATTTGACCTTGAAAAACCACAATGTAGACTGTCTTAATACCGATACTTTATCAACATTTTCTGTTCCAATTTTTCCCCCTCCAGTTCAAAGACACAACCCCAGCCGTTTTTTTTTTTTTTTTTTTTTTTTTTTTTCTTTTTT